GAACCAATAGAAAATGGAAAAACCCCGCTGGGCGTGGTGGGGGTTCACGCTATAATCCTCAGCCTCCTGAGTAGCTGGGATTACAGGCGAGCGCCACCATGCTTGTCTAATTTTTGTATTTCTAGTAGAGGCAGGGTTTCACCATGTTGGCCAGGCTGGTCTCCAGACCTCAGGTGATCCACCTGCCTCAGCCTCCCAAAGTGCTGGGATTATAGCTGTGAGCCACCACGCCCAGCGGGGTTTTTCATTTTCATTGGTTCATTTGTAGTTGGATGAGGCCTGAATTATTTGTTATCAGTCAGTCCTTCAATAAATAAATAAATAATTCCCTGGGCCACGCTCGGTGGCTCACGCCTATATAATCCCAGCACTTTGGAAGGCTGAGGCAGGTGGGTCCTAGTGAGGCCAAGAGTTCGAGACCAACCTGGCCAACATGGCGAAACGCCGTCTTTACTAAAAATACAAAAAATAGCCAGGCGTGGTGGTGCACGTCTGTAATCCCAGCTGCTCGGGAGGCTGAGGCACGAGAATCACTTGAAATCTGAGAGGCCGAAGTTGCAGTGGGCCAAGATCACACCACTGTACTCCATCCTGGGTGACAGAGCAAGACTCTGTCTCAAAAAATAATTAATTCCCTGTCAAATTCAGTTGAGTTGCTGGTAAAAATAAATCACATAGCATCAGTGAAAATTAACTGAATGAGTGAGCTGGAGGCTGGGGCAAAAGTGGGAGGCCTGAAAGTTAAGGTGTGGGCCAGGCTAAGGCCTAGACTGGCCCTCTCCAGCCTGGCCTGAACTTTCTGTTTCAGGTGGCATGGTACAATGAACTCTTGCCTCCAGCCTTCCACCTACTGCTGCCAGGACCTACCCTGGCCTTCCTGGTACTCAGCACACCTGCCATGTTTGACCAGGCCCTCAAGCCCTTCTTGCAGAGCTGCCACCTCCGAATGCTGACCGACCCAGTGGACCAGTGTGTGGCCTACCATCTGGGCCGTGTTAGAGAGGTGAGGAAGGCTGTTTTCCCCCACCTCCCAAAGCCACAGCTGCCTCCAGTTCCTCCAGGCTCAATGCAGAATCTAGACCTAGGGCTAGGAGCCACTTCAAAGGTGAAATGATGTCCTAAAGTCAGGCTTGACATTCTGTGATCTTTCCTCATTCTGCCTTCTCACACACCCAAGTTCCACCACCCTCCTCTACCAGTACCCCAGTGTGTAATCAGTCTCTGTCACCCTACACTGATGGGCAACTACATGAACCTCAGACCAGGTTTTCCTTGGCCTCCAAGTGGAATAGGAATGAGTTCAACATTCCCCAGGTGTTGCTTTGCCCTAGACCTGCAAGCTTTATGCTGTCCTTTTGAGGACAGAACAATATTCTCCCAACACACACTCACATATACACATAACTATGTACACACCCACTGGATCTCCCCAAAGCTGGCCATGCCTTCCTCCACACCAGGACTTGTGTATTTCCCTTCAAACATGGGCACTTCTGGAAATAACTATAACTATGTCCACACTGGAGCCTCCCAAGTTAAGGTCATGTTTTCCTTTCTGAGGACAGGACCATGTTCACAAACAAACTAGGGCTCCCTAGGATAAGGTCATAACTCCCCTCATGCTGACAGTACGCTCTATCTTGTCCACGGTTCCAGAGCCTCCCAGAGCTGCAGATAGAAGTCATTGCTGACTACGAAGTGCACCCCAACCGACGCCCCAAGATCCTGGCCCAGACAGCAGCCCATGTGGCAGGGGCTGCTTACTACTACCAACGACAAGATGTGGAGGCTGACCCATGGGGGAACCAGGTGAGAGGGAAAATGTAAATAGAGACTGAGACAGACTGGTAAAGGCCTCTCCCTACCAGGTCCCACATTCCTCAGCCTTCCCTGGATGGATTTGTTTGACACAACCCAAAACAAATAAGCTTTGTCCTGGACAGGGGAGCAGTCCTGTCACATGTGATTGTCTGACTGGGGACTTGTGAGATCAGAAAACCTAGTCTGCAGAACCATCTTAGGATAGAGGGGGCACAGCAGTGTTCAGAATAGTGGTGAGACTGGGTAAGCCCAAGCCCTTCCTTGTGCTCAGAATAGTTTATGAAAGGGTTTGCCAAGAAAGGGACAGAAGTTTATGTAGTCAGCGTACACTGAGTGGGAAATAAATGAACAGGCCTAGCTTGCAATGATGGCAGTTGGACTTGGTGCCAAGGGGACCTCCGTGACCTTGCTTTTCTTCACTCTCTCCCCAGCACATATCAGGTGTGTGCATACACCCCCGATTTGGGGGCTGGTTTGCCATCCGAGGGGTAGTGCTGCTGCCAGGGATAGAGGTGCCAGATCTGCCACCCAGAAAACCTCATGACTGTGTACCTACAAGAGCTGCCCGTATCGCCCTACTCGAAGGCTTCAATTTCCACTGGAGAGACTGGACTTACCGGGATGCTGTGACACCCCAGGAGCGCTACTCAGAAGAGCAGAAGGCGTACTTCTCCACTCCGCCTGCCCAACGATTGGCCCTGCTGGGCTTGGTTCAGCCCTCAGAGAAGCCTAGTTCTCCCTCCCCAGACTTTCCCCAGACTTTCCTCCCCAGACTTTCCACACACACCCCCAAGAAGCCTGGGAATCCCAGCAGAGCCCGGAGCTGGCTCAGCCCCAGGGTCTCACCACCTGCATCCCCTGGCCCTTGATACCTTTCTCCCATGTAGACCCTGATTTATGGAGGTACTTGCTAGGACTTAATTGGCTTTGGCAAAGGAAAAGGTTCTGAGTACAAGATTACTATTTTTAATAATACCGTAGAGCTCTTCCATGAAGGTAACAAGGCTCAAGGAAGTTAAGTTTGGCCAAGATAAAGGCCAGGAAACCAGAATTCCCATCTGCCTTCAAATGCAATTTTTTTTTTTTTAAAGACAGTCTCACTCTTGTCACCTAGGCTGGAGTGCAGTGACACAATCTCCGCTCACTGCAACCTCCACCTCCCAGGCTGGAGGTTCTCCTGTCTCAGTCTCCCGAGTAGCTGAGGCCACAGGTGTGCGCCATCGCACCTGTCTAATTTTTTGGCGCTCAGCCAAGACTCTTAATCTGTTCCCATTTCTAAGCAGTGCCCCCAATGTCATTACAGGGCATGGTGGCTCACGCCTGTAATCCCAGCACTTTGGGAGGCTGAGGCAGGTGAATTATGAGGTCAGTTTGAGACCAGCCTGGCCAATATGGTGAAACCCCGTCTCTACTAAAAATACAGTTAGGCCGGGCGCAGTGGCTCAAGCCTGTAATCCCAGCACTTTGGGAGGCCGAGACGGGTGGATCACGAGGTCAGGAGATCGAGACCATCCTGGCTAACACGGTGAAACCACATCTCTACTAAAAAATACAAAAAACTAGCCGGGCGACGTGGCGGGCGCCTGTAGTCCCAGCTACTCAGGAGGCTGAGGCAGGAGAATGGCGTAAACCCAGGAGGTGGAGCTTGCAGTGAGCTGAGATCCGGCCATTGCACCCCAGCCTGGGCAACAGAGCAAGACTCCGTCTCAAAAAAAAAAAAAAAAAAAATACAGTTAGCCGGGCATGGTGGCGCAGGCCTAAGGAGAATCATTTGAACCAGGGAGGCAAAGGTTGCAGTGAGCCGAGATTGCACAGCTGCACTCTAGCCTGGGCGACAGTGTGAGACTGTCTCAAAAAAAGAAGTACCTACCTCACGTAGGAACTGAATAAACACGTGTACAGCACTTTGGAAAGTACCTGACATACAGTAAACTGTATATGTTGGCTGTTACCAAAGGCTCTGGGAATTCTGTACTGCTGCTCATGGGTATAGTCTGGGTTCTAGAGGGCTGGGCAGGTTGGAGTAGCTGAGGAAGACAAGTGGCTGGAATGGTATCACATGACACACAGAAGTATCCTCAGTTCTCAATCTACCCTGGCCTCAAGGGCCCAGAATAACTTTTCCCAGCTGACAACCTCTCTAAGGACAATGACATATGAATGAGGATCAAAACGAGCTTTGGCCAGGCACTGTGGCTCTCACCTCTAATCCCACCATTTTGGGAGGCTGAGGCGGAGGACCACTTGAGGCGAGGAGTTCAGAACCAGTCTGGGCAACACAGTGACACTAAAAAAGACTATCTCTAATCAAGGCTAGAACCCAGGGAAGGCTAAGAATTGCCCAGTACTGTACAACTACTGAAAGCCCTACCCAAGGCCACCAGCCCTTTGTCTTCCTTTCTGCCAGTTCAAAAGAAACAGAAACCTCCAACTCTCTTTTACATAGCAGGTACCAGGCATTTATCAGAAGAGGCCAAGTTTCTGGTTCCCATGCAGCCCTTTGAATAGTGCGTCCAAGTAAAAATAGGTGTCCAAGTAGTCACACCGAGACTAATTGGCAACCCAGCCTGTGGCATAAGTCGCCATGCTCCAGTCAACACTATAGCAAGGCTTATTCTTCTCCCTCATGTGTAGTGAAACAAAATGTTAACACCTTGGGTTCATTCAGTTCCATTCCCTGTGTCTACCTGTGTCAATATAATCCCGATTTGGAGGCAGCTCTCATTTTCCCCTAAACAGGGAAAGCAGAGTAAATTCCTCTTAAAATCAAAAGCTAGTAATATACCTCCTAAAATAAAGACTCATCAAGGTCTCAGTTCAGGTTTAATACAAACTACAAAATATTAATGGGTTGCTCTACTGATACATCATACAAACCAGTGGCCTGCCCACAACACCAACTCAGGCCATTCCTACCAAAGGAAGAAAGGCTGGTCTCTCCACCCCATGTAGGAAAGGCCTGCCTTGTAACAGACCACAATTCGGCTGAATCTGAAGTCTTGTGTTTTACTCATGGGAAAAAAAAAAAATACAGAAGAGGTTTTGTTCTCATGGCTGCCCACTGCAGCCTGGCACTAAAACAGCCCAGCGCTCACTTCTGCTTGGAGAAATATTCTTTGCTCTTTTGGACATCAGGCTTGATGGTATCACTGCCAGGTTTCCAGCCAGCAGGGCACACTGCAAAAGAAAGGTACTACTAATTAATAACCTTCTCAATGGTATGCACCACCATTCTCCTATGGACAAAACCAGTTCTGCACCCTGAAGAGCCTGAACACTCAGATACCAGGAAACCTACCCCTGCAATCGGTCTAAGATCATTCAGCCTTTTAGTGTAACCTATTTTACAAACATTATATAATCATCACCACAGCCTTAAGATACTATTATGCCTAATTTATTCATGTAGCACTTAAAATTTAAATTTTCCACAAAAAAGGCAAGTTTAAATGATTTGCCAACACTCTCCAGTCCTTAAGGGAAAAAAAAAAAGCTAAATAAATGATACACATAGAACTATGTAAACCCTTAACACTAAACTGTTTCCCTCTGACAGCCCTTCAGAACTCTGAAGGCAGCAACCTCAGTCTGCCTTCTCAGCATTCTTATAACTCTACCAAACTGGAAAGTCTGAACCTTATAAAGGATCAAGAACTTAATAGAAGCGCCTGCTTGTTTCATTAAGTAACTGCCATCTACCCCTCGGTAAGCAAAAGGCAAAGTTTGAGATTTTTCATGAATGTATACAGAAAGCACAGCCTTCAACCTTTTCCTGACAATGCCTAAGAATGTGTCTCAGGCTAGCCTGAAGAAAGTGAGGCAAGGGGACTAATCTCTGATTTTTCTTTTCCTTTTTTTGAGATGGAGTCTCGCTGTGTTGCCCAGGCTGGAGTGCAGTGGCGTGATCCCCACCTCTCTCTGCAACCTTGGTCTCCCAGGTTCAAGCGATTCTCCTGCATCAGCCTCCCAAGTAGCTGGGATTACAGGCGCCCGCCACCACACCCGGCTAATTTTTGTATTTTTAGTAGAGATGGGGTTTCACGATGTTGGCCAGGCTGATCTCAAACTCCTGACCTCAGGTGATCTGCCTGCCTCGGCCTCCCAAAGTGCTAGGATTACAGGCGTGAGCCACCGCACCTGGCCTGATTTTTCCACTACCATGTGCTGTCATATTCTACGAGACATGTAATCAAAGTCCAGCAGGAGCAGCAAGAGTCTCAATTGCTCAAGTGAGACATAGGGAGGCCCCTCTTTGGTCCAAGGATATCATAACCTCAGATATCAAGACTCTACAAACAGCTCTCTAGGCATAAGGTACAGATGGAACAAGAGCTAAATAGAAGGACCAGCTGCCATTATTTTCCTAAAATCTCCATCTGATTGTTAGTTATTGGCTTTAGTGATATCAAGGGGTTACAATACAGGTCCTAAAGATAAACAAGTTGGAAAGAACAGCATAAAAGCAAATAAATACCAGCCTGGCCAACATAATGAAACCCCGTCTCTACTAAAAATATAAAAAATTAGCTGGGCGTGGTGGTGAGCGTCTATAATCCCAGGTACTCGGGAGGCTGAGGCAGGAGAATTGCTTGAGGCAGAGGTTGCAGTGAGCTGAGATCATAACACTGCACTCTAGCCCGGATGACAGTGCGAGACTCCATCTCAAAAAAACAAGTGTTTGGCAGCCGGGCACAGTGGTTCACGCCTATAATCCCAGCGCTTTGGGAGGCCAAGGCGGAGGACTGCTTGAGCTTGAGCTCAGGAGTTCTGAGACCAGCCTGGCCAACATGGCAAAATCGCATCTCTACAAAACATACAAAAATTAGTGGGGCATGGTGGTGGGCCCCTGTAGTCCTAGCTACTCAGGAAGCTGATGCTAGAGAATTGCTTGAACCCAGGAGGTGGTAGCTGCAGTAAGCCGAGATCACACAACTGCACTCCAGTTTGGGCAACAAAACAAGATTCTGTCTCAAAAAAAAAATATATATAGAGAGAGAGAGAGAGTGTTTGGCATTCATAGGCTCTTAAATGGTGCCTATTTAAGAAGCTGTACATGTTCCAGTGGGATAGGAAGCAGAAGAGACCAATAGAGTCTGAAGAAGCAAGCTTCTGAGTCATGAAAGCTTGTGTTCGGGAGACTAACCTATATGTAGGTTCCCAGGAAAGTCCAGTTAAAGGGCCTACTTTGCCACTGCCGGCTCCTTCTTAATGCTGAACCTCATCTCCCACAAGGGGGCAGTCTCAGCAGGTGTCAGCTGAGCCATGTGTTATCTGTCCAGGCTAACTGCCCACACATCCTTCTGAAAAGGGTACCTCCTGGTTATCAGTGCTCACTGATCCCTATATAATCAGACTCTTACAGGGATTAAAAAGTAATCCCTGTAAAAAGATTACTTGGTGCTAGCCAAACTAGCACCTTTGGGTCTTCCCATACACACACCACTAATCCAGACTCTAGTAACTTCATTTTCTTTAAATCACAAGATCAGAGCTAAAATGGGCCTTAGAAAGCTAGTCTGGGCTGGGCGCGATGGCTCATGGGAGGTGGAGGTCACAGTGAGCCAAGACTGCGCCACTGCACTCTAGCCTGGGCAACAGAGCAAGACTCTGTCTTGCAAAAAATAAATAAATAAATAAATACAAATATGAACTATATGGATTAACCTCTTCTCTCAACAAAGTTATTTTTAAAATGGCATGCTTTATCTCTAGATGTGATTCCCAACCATTTTGTTTTGCCCTAATACATCTGTGAGATCATCCTACATTAAGTTAGATCTTTAGGAGTGACTGATTCTAAATGAGCAGGGCAGAAGAGAGGAGTATGTACACTTCGAATAAAAAGTCTTTATATTCTCCTTCCCAAGCTTTTCCATTACCCTCACCCTCACACACTGTAATCCAGGGGCTTCAATATCTTGAAGAGAAATACCCCTTTTCTTATTTGGTAGCTTCTGTTCCTACTATCTTTCCCATTCTACCACCACTCTGTTATCCTTTTATCAGACAGATGGCTTACCTTCCCCATGTTTGTCAGTGAACTGGAAGGCCTGAACTAGTCTCAAAGTCTCATCCACAGAGCGGCCGACAGGGAGGTCATTTACAGTGATCTGCCGAAGAATACCCTTATCATCAATGATAAAGAGGCCCCTGGGAAAAGAGATGAAAGGAAAAGCAATACAGGTTTAAAGATGTGCTTTGTTAGAATACAGAAGCTTGAAGTCTTAAGGAAATGGACTGGTCTCCACATTCATACTGGCCTGGCCTTAGTGAGAAGGCCCCTGCATAAAGGAATGAAATGATGAAGGAGTCTTTACAGATCAGGGCTCTAGATTTCTCCAAATAAAAGGCTTTCAGCCAACTGGGTACTTGTCCTGATGACATACCTGAATGAAATGCCTTCATCAGCCTTTAAGACCCCATAATCCTGAGCAATGGTGCGCTTCGGGTCTGATACCAAAGGAATGTTCATGGGTCCCAGTCCTCCTTGTTTCTTAGGTGTGTTGATCCTACGGCAAAAGACAAACACAGTTACATTCAAACTCTTGACTTAACTGTACCTATTCCTCTTTCCCCCTTTCCCATATTCCTAATCTAACTTTCCAAAAAAACTGTTTTTCTCCTTTTCCAGCAATAAAGTGAATGCTGAGAACAGTTAAGGTAGGTTACTAGGGTACACTCAACTACAACTGAAGCTGCTGCTTCTCTGCTGCCAGGTCATGAGCAGTAAAATCAGACTTTGCACTTCTTCCATGAGAAGCCAATACTTGGCCAGGTGCGGTGGCTCAAGCCTGTAATCCCAGCACTTTGGGAGGCCGAGACGGGCGGATCACGAGGTCAGGAGATCGAGACCATCCTGGCTAAAACGGTGAAACCCCGTCTCTACTAAAAAATACAAAAAACTAGCCGGGTGAGGCGGCGGGCGCCTGTAGTCCCAGCTACTCGGGAGGCTGAGGCAGGAGAATGGCCTGAACCCGGGATGCGGAGCTTGCAGTGAGCTGAGATCCGGCCACTGTACTCCAGCCTGGGCAACAGAGCAAGACTCCGTCTCAAAAAAAAAAAAAAAAAAAATCCATGAGAAGCCAATACTTGAAAGTCTATTGCCAAAGCTTCCCAGTTGCTGTTTTAAAAGTTCACATGCGGCCAGGTGCAGTGGCTCACGCCTGTAATCCCAGCACTTTGGGAGGCCGAGGCGGGCAGATCATGAGGTCAGGAGATCGAGACCATCCTGGCTAACACGGTGAAACCCCATCTCTACTAAAAATACAAAAAATTAGCCGGGCTGGTGGTGGGCACCCGTAGTCCCAGCTACTCTGGAGGCTGAGGCAGGAGAATGGCGTGAACCCAGGAGGCGGAGCTTGCAGTGAGCCAAGATCATACCACTCCCTCTAGCCTGGGCGACAGAGCGAGACTCCATCTCAAAAAATAAAAAAAAAGTTCACATGCCAAATGAACCAAGAGATTTACCATGCTAGATGACAGAAGTGAGAATCCACAGAAGCACCAATCACTTGGCAGTTGAGTTTCTTAAATTCTTCTGCCCTATCACTGAAAGCGATGATCTCCGTAGGGCACACAAAGGTGAAGTCAAGAGGATAAAAGAAGAATACAACATATTTTCCTGGGGGAAAAACAGGAGTCATGGTTAGCATTTGACACAGACTTCCTTGCTTTATATTTTCCTATACAAAAAGCAGCAAGTTGATGGCTGACACAATAACCACTAAATGCCAAGATGCTCGATATAGATGTCTCCTAGTAGCTACTTTTAGAACCTGGTGCATTAGGAAAACCTGAATGAAAGAAACTTCCAATCCCATGCTTTATTCTCCTGCCTCCATATTCTTAGCTGCCAACCACAGAATAAACACTGTTCAGTCTAATTTTGATCTTTTCTGAGTGGCTAAAATTAGCATAAACACCAAGTTCTCCAAAGATAGCAAAAGCAAGGATGCACTTATAAGCATGGCCTAATACCAACGCTTAACAAACAGTGCCCAGAGAAGCTGAATTGCAGCACTCCTCTGCTGTAGAGATAAGACACCAATAAGAAGTCAGAGCCTTTGCACTTCTCCCGTGATGAACCATAGTAATGGAACAAGCATGGTTTAAGTGATCACATGTGTTCCTAACGTGCCTGACAGGACAGGAAAATTTTTAAGCCAGGCACAGTGGTGCATGCTTGTAGTCCCAGCTACTTGGGAGGCTGAGGTGGGAGGATCCCTTGACCCCAGGAGTTTGAGGCCAGCCTGGGCAACAGAGCAAGACAGTCTCAAAACAACAAAAAATACATATATACATATACACAGAGAGAGACAGAGAAAAGACAAAAGTACTAGTGAGTAACAGAACTTCTAGCTGCAATTTTAATGAAGTCACTGGGATTAACCACTGAAATAACAGATCGTCAAACTGGTCAGGCAGCCTAGCCTTTTCACCACACCCACCAGGCTTAAATACTAGAACAATTCCAAATATTCACTCATTTCCAGGTAGCAGCAATGTTTGCAAAGTCAAATAGGCTGGGTGTGGTGGCTCAGCCTGGCATGGTGGCTCATGTCTGTAATCCTAGCATTTTGGTAGGCCGAGGCAGGTGGATCACCTGAGGTCAGGAGTTCAAGACCAGCCTGACCAACATGGTGAAACGTGTCTCTACTAAAAATACAAAAAATAGCTAGGCGTGATAGCGGGGGCCTGAAATCCCAGCTACTCGGGAGGCTGAGCCAGGAGAATCACTTGAACTGGGGAGATGGAGGTCGCAGTGACCCAAGACCATGCCACTGCACTACAGCCTATGCAACAAGAGCAAAATTCCATCTCAAAAAAAAAAAAGTCAAACAAGCAGCCCTTTTAGACATTACCACTTTGCAGTATCACTGGAAACTAACTCATCTAAACAACCCCTGCAGGGCTTTGCCTAACAAGCACCATGGGGCCTCAGCAGGTCAAACCCTGGAGGGCAGAGAGCAGCTCCTCCTAGACCTCCTGCTTATACTCCTGGGCCAAGGTCACCTCCCTACGGTGCAACTTACCTTGTTTGCTAGAAGAAGCCCCATCAACAAACTGTGATTATGTCAGGAAACCTAGTCAAATGTTCTACCAAAAACTAACTTCAGAAACTGATGCTACACCACTGAGAAAAGGACACTTGACACCTGAGTTTCAGGTTTGCATTCTAAGGAATCTATATCCTCAACTGTCCCAGGAGATCCAGCTGCTCTGGGACTACAAGGTAAAGGAAGGAGGAGCCTCAACAGAACTTGCCAAGTGTCTGCATGAAACTATGACAACAGAAAGGAGAGTTGTTCCATCTGTAATATCAACTCTCCTCTGGGGTCAAAACAGGCAAGGGAAAGTGCCTAGCCTTCAGCTTAATATTAACAACTGTAATATATATGTGACCCAAATGAACAAACAGTGTCACAGCTCCAAAGAGTTGAGTGAGTTCTGAGACTTTAAATGTAGAATGTCTCTTATAACAAGAGATAATGCGAATTTCTCCAATAATAAAATAGAGAAGGGCCAGATGCAGTAGCTCACACCTGTTATCCCAGCACTTTGAAAGACTGGGGCAGGTAGAGGGCTTGAGCCCAGGAGTTGGGAGATGGTGCCCATCTCTACAAAAAACACAAAAATTAGCCGGGCATGGTGGCATGCCCCTACAGTCCCAGCTACTTGGGAGGCTGAGGTGGGAGGATCACCTGAGTCCAGAGAGGTAGAGGCTGCAGTGAGGCATGACTGCACCACTGCACTCCAGCCTGGGTGACAGAATGAGACCCTGTCTCAAAAATAAAAATAAATGAAGAAAATAGAGGAGGAATACTAAAAAGATAATTGAGCTAGTATGTCCAGACATAATGAAGCATGTGGTTTCTCCAGAAGTGGTTTGGTCCTAGGATATACACCCTGTAATCACTTGATAATCACTACTTCAACATGAAGGTAACAACCTAAATACTTCTTTCTAGGAGACAAAACGTTTTACAGTCAAATATAACACTGACACAAATCTAACAAGCCATCCCTAGAATATAAAATAACTCCATCTCAACGAGCCCAGTGTAAATTCTCTTACCTTTGTAGTCAGACAGGCTGATATCTTTAAACTGACCATCTGGCATAACGGCTGTGGCTTTGAAGTTGGGGGCAGGGTGCCCAATTTTAGCATTTCCTGAAGACATCTTCCTATCAGCTAGAAATAACAGAAATTAATTAGAAACAAGCCTTAATTTTCTAGATAACCAGCAGCCTTCACCTACTTAAGAGACTTAGCTGTAGAACAATCAAGGCATTGTCCAGTGTCCCTGAATACATTAAATGTTATTTTAGTAAGAAGCTCAGGCCAGCAGTCAAGGGTCACAATCAGAGCTTTTGAAACAAAACAAGTCTCTGAATCTCAGCCTTTGTTTTCATTTAAAAACGACAAGGCAATTTCTTTATATACTAAGAAAACCTCTCACTCTTTCTGAACCATAATTAGTGCAGTGGCATCTTATTCATTAGACAGAAGCAGAGAGGGAGGCAGGTGAAGACTCTCAAACCAGAATCCAAATGCACAATGCCACAAACACTTTTGTTTGGCTCATAGTCATGTTGACCTTTCCCATCACTGTGCCTCCACCTGCCTTAATAACGTCAGAAGCATATTTGACTTTTCTCCAGGTAGCTTTGTCAAAGACAGCACACGACCTATAACTAACACAACTTGTTTTATTTTTTTTGGACGGAGTTTCGCTCTTGGGGCCCAGGCTGGAGTGCAATGGTGCTATCTCGGCTCACCGCAACCTCCACCTCTAGGGTTCAAGTGATTCTCCCGCCTCAGCCTCTGGAGTATCTGGGATTACAGGCGCTAGCCACTACACCCGGCTAATTTTTTTGTAGTTTCATTAGAGAAAGGGTTTCTCCATGTTGGTCAGGCTGGTCTCGAACTCCTCACCTCAGGTGATCGCCCAACTCAGCCTCCCAAAATGCTGGGATTACAGGTGTGAGCCACCGCACCCTTCCAGCCAGTCCACCTTTTAAAAGGCAAGACCACTGGGCACGGTGGCTCACACCTGTAATCCCAGCACTTCCGAAGGCCGAGGCAGGCGGATCACAAGGTCAGGAGTTCAAGACCAGTCTGGCCAACATGGTGATACCCTGTCTCTACTAAAAATACAAAAATTAGCCGGGAGTGGTGGTGCATGCCTGTAATCCCAACTACTCAGGAGGCTGCTGAAGCAGGTGAATCGCTTGAACCCGGGAGGCAGAGGTTGCAGTAAGCCGAGATCACACCACTGCACTCCAGCCTGGGCGACAGAGTGAGACTTTTCACTCTGGGCCATACAGTGAAGAAAAAAAAAAGCCGGTGGGGGGGCGGGAAGACCAAGATATTGGCGTCTGCTTAATTTCAAATCTTTAGGTATTGTGTAAGCCCTAGAAGTCCCTTCACAAATGGGTTCCTGACTTCTGGGCTAATATCCCAGGGCGAAAAGTAGAACAAGAATCAATTTACTTCTGAAAAGGAAGGTTACGCAGGATTCACCCAGATCAACACCAAGATAAGCATCGAGATCTTGGCCTGTAATGCCAGTACTTTGGTAGCCGAGACAGGCAGATCACCTCAAGTCAGGAGTTCGAGAATAGCCCGGCCAACATAGTTAAACCCCGTCTCTAACAAAAATACAAAAAGTTAGCCGGGTGTGGTGGCACGCGCCTGTAGTCCCAGCTACTCCGGAGGCTGAGGCAGGAGAATCACTTGAAACCGGGAGGTGGAGGCTGCAGTGAGCCGAGATCCCGCCACTGCACTCCAGCCTAGGAGACAGAGCAAGACTCCGTCTCAAAAAAAAAAAAAAAGTTCACGACAGGCCTGGCCAACATGGTGAAACCCCGTCTCTACTACAACTACAAAAAAAAAAAAAAAATTAGCCGGGCGTGGTGACCGGCGTCTGCAGTCCCAGCTACTCAGGAGGCTGAGGCAGGAGAATGGCGTGAACCCGCGAGGCGGAGCTTGCAGTGAGCCGAGATCGCACCACTGCACTCCAGCCTGGGCGACAAAGCGAGACTCCATCTCAAAGGAAAAAAAAAAAAAACAGCAAAAATTTGCCGGGGCTTGGTGGCACACGCCTGTAATTCCAGCTACTCGCGAGACTGAGGGAGGAGAATTGCTTGAGTTCAGCAGACAGAGGTTGTCGCAGTAAGCCGAGACCGCACCACTGCTACTCCAGCCTGGCCGACAGAGCGAGACTGTCTCAAAAAAAAACGAGTTTTAACCCACTGAGCCGCAGTCTAAAAGTTTTTCCAAGTCCTAAAGTTCTTTAAAAACTGTTTTTTAAAAAGTCCTTAACACCTTTAACGACAAAAAACAAAAACCAAAAACTAATGCATGCTGCAACTCGGTGTCCCCAAATGGCCTTCTCGTCCCATCCTACTTTCCCAGGTGGCTCCCAAGTACCAAACCCAACCAATTCGGGGTAAAGGCTGCTTCAGGCTGGCGCCGGGCCCCTTCAGGGGATCTGCCCAGTGCCGAGGGCCACACCCCTGAACCCCACTTCAGGTACCCCTGTCCCTCCCCAGCACTGTGTAAAGTACCAGCAGAAAGAGTGCTTCAGCGGGGACATTTGGGCTCATCACTAACTCCATTCCACGTACAGGAAAATAAAGACGGGGAAAGGGTACCCGAAGCTCCGCAGCTAGTCAAGGCTCAGGACCCGGAACAGCATTTACCCTATCACAAGATGGACAAAAATACAGGCTGTCTTCTACAGCCACGAGTCCGGATACAGGTCCATTCCAGAAGCTTCCCGAACCCACCCCGCCCGACAGGAGGCTAGTCTTGGAGACCCCACCACCAGCCCGCCCAGACGCCGCGCCACGTGCTCAAGTTGCCGGGGAACGACTCGACTCGAGTCCACGCTAGCCTTGGGGTTCAACCACGTCCCCGCACCTACGTGGGGGGCCCATGAGAGGGGTGCGCGTAGCGCTCAGGTAGTCTCGGGCTCCGGGTCTCCCCCGGCCGCCTCACGCATCACAGTACCCCCACCCAATGGCGGGCGAGCCCCAGACAGGAGAAGGAAGAGGCAACAGGCAAGAAAGGCGCGCCGCGCCTCACTCCGCAGAGGCCGCGCTGCCCACACTCACCAGTCCTAACACAAGTCACAGAAACAAACCACCAGCGCCAGGCAAGAACAAAACGCGCAAATTCCGCCCGGGGCGCTGCCTTTATAGCCAGTAGGGCTCTCGCGAGAGTCGGAGTGGACCGGGGGTTCTGGAAGAGGAGAAAGAGGAGGGGGATGTGGCCCGAGCCCCGCCCGGCGCGCCCCACCGGAATGACTCGGCGCTTTTCCTCGTGGGGGCAGGCGCGGAAATACTAATACCTCTCCCTGCTGCGGATGGCTGAGGCTGGAGTGAGGCGCTCTTGTGGCCGCTCCCAAACCCAAACGCTTAGGTTAATCCAAGGTCTCTGCAGAAAACCAGGATTCCCTTTACTTCCAGGACCACTACGCACTGTGCCCTTAATGCCCAAACCGGAGTAAGCGTCCTAGCTGCTGCCCACGGATGACCATGTCTAATCACACCAAGCCATGAGAACTGTCTGAATATTTCTTAAGTTAAGCAGCCTTAACCCCAGCGCAGATCCTCAGTAACCCTCATGGGTTAGATAGCTTCCTTCATTGTTCTCTTTGATTACAGGGTTGCTGCTTTCTGTTGTAAAGCAAAATAAAATATCAGGACTCCTAAACTTATGCCAAAGGGAAAGTTCAGTTTAGGACGCTGAGTCAGCTACACGACCATCCTTTCCCCGGATGAATAACTTGACTTTACAATCTTGAGTCAAAATATTACACATTAGCCAGACCTACACAGTAAGGCAAAAGGCCTCAGACACTTCCTGATAACTACCCCCCACAAACACACATACACAAAATCACAATTATTTGCTACCCTGGAAACCTTTGAAGTATGTAGCCTCCCATAAAACAAGGACGTGTCAATTGTAACTAGATCTGCAATCTAAAGTCTAGTTCCTAAAACGAAAGTTTGTTGTATTCCACATTTTTTTTGAGACACAGTCTCACTCACCCTATCGCCCAGGCTGTAGTGCAGTGGCACGGTGTAGGCTTACTGCAACCTCCACCTCCCGGGCTCAAGCGATTCTCCCGCCTAGCCTCCGGAGTATCTGGGACTACAGGCACGCACCACCATGCCCAGCTAATTTTTTATATTTTTAGTGGAGACGGGGTTTCATCCTGTTGGCTAGGCTGGCCTCCAACGCCTGACCTCAGGTGATTCACCCACCTTGTCCTCCCAAAGTGCTACGAATATAGGCGCGAGCCACCTCACCTGGCCTCTATTCCACAAATTCCATAAATGTTGACTACTATATTACCTTTCTACTAGACTACTTTCTACCTTTCTAGTAGTACCTTACTACTAGATTACCCTGAGTCCATCACACAATTGTTTTCTTCCGCTATTCCCATTTTCCTCAAACATTCACCTTATCTTGTGTAAAAATGTAGATTTAGGCCGCCGAGGAGGGGGCGGATCATAAGGTCAGGAGTTTGATACCATCCTGGTCAACATGGTAAAACCCCGTCTCTACTAAAAACATAAAAATTAACCGGGCATGGTGGCGCAGGCCTGTAATCCCAGCACTTTGGGAGGCCGAGGCAGGTGGATCACGAGGTCAAGAGATCGATACCATCCTGGTCAACATGGTAAAACCCCGTCTCTACTAAAAGACAGAAAATTAGCTACTCTGGGGGCTGAGACAGCAGAATCACTTAAACCCAGGAGGCAGAGCTTGCAGTGAGCCGAGATCGCACCACTGCACTCCAGCCTGGGCGACAAAGCGAGACTCCATCTCAAAGGAAAAAAAAAAAAAAACAGCAAAAATTTGCCGGGGCTTGGTGGCACACGCCTGTAATTCCAGCTACTCGCGAGACTGAGGGAGGAGAATTGCTTGA